CTATGAGTCAAAAACAACTTCATGGCACTTCACAACTTTATATAACATTTTTGGCACTGAACTCAAATACTCTCCCTGTACTACCCTTGTAATTAAAAAAAAAAAATGTGGCAAATAATTATTTATTGGTTTATTTGATTTACATATGCAAGCGTAAAGTAAATCACCACAATTGTTTCCAAAGAAAAATAACATATTCCAAATAGATATTCTGTAGAATAGGATACAGCATCATTTGGGTCTTTGTCACTAATGCTATGCATTTATTTATTTTCATGAAGAAATGCTCACCATGGTTAGTCACTTGTTCTTTTTTTTTTTTTTAAGTTTTTATTGTGAACTGAGTGATAGTTTACCTGGGAGAACATCAGCTTTACACCATCATTTCATTGCAATGATTACAGTCTCCTCCCTGCATCATCATTTGACAGTATTTACTTCTATTCCTTCTGTTTTTTGTGTTTGTGTTTTTTTTTGCCGGGAGGATGTACACAAAAACACTCAGGAATATGTAATAAACAACCAAAGAGCACATTTTGCAAGCCTGCCTCCTGGCCACCAGCACACAGCCTTTCACTTTCCATGAGTCCAGAGTCCTCAGCTGCTCCCCTTCTCCATGTCCTCATCTCTGCCACCATCTCTGGTGTTGCTGCTTCTCTGGATAGGGTCCCACATTCCACTCATGCTCTTCCTCCCATGATGGTCCTAGGGCCCTGTGTTCCTGGAATTTAAGATTAACTACTCCCCTCTTTTTGTTATAAAACTTCTACTTTTACAGTTGTGACAGTCCCTTGCTGTGATTCTTGATGGCTTTTACATGGCAGGATGGCTGTTGGGCCTCCTGTCTCCAAGTGGCCCATCCTCTACTTCACTCGCTTGCAGCCGGGGCTGTGAGCTCTGAGTTCTCTAACATGGAGACCCCTGGCCACAGATGCCGCTGGACACTTGAAATGAGACCAGTACTGAGATTCCGTTTTTACAAATGCAGAGCACCTCAACTATTGTATAGATAGCTGACTTGTTGAAATGACATTTTCTAATATAGTGAGCCAAATAAAATAATTATAACCAATTTCACAGGCTTTTACTTTTACTACTATGGCTTCTAAGGAGCTCTGGCAGTGTAGTGGGTTGTGTGCTGGGCTGCTAACTGTAAAGTCAGCAGTTTGAATCCACAAGCCACTCCTACTGGAAAAAGATGAGGCTTTCTGCTCTCGTAAAGATTTATAGCCATGGGAATCCTACACAGTGTTGCTGTGAGTCAGAACAACTCGATGGCACACCACCACCACCACGACCACCACGACTTCTAGAAAACTGAAAATGAGCTGTGTGGTTGGCATTATATTCTGAGACAGCGCTGCTCTAGACTTGCTTGTTACCAATAACCGCAGAGTCTCATCATCTCAATTCCAAGCGTTCTGCTCTTCAAACACCACCCCCTGGCTTCCTGGCATACTTCTATTACCCAATGCCAGCATTTCTTAAAGCTCAACAGCATCTACAACTCAATGATCCAAGCACCTTTTCCACGGTCCTCCATTCCACATGACTTCACTTTCTCCATATGCACAGTCTACAATGATGGTGAGTCTAAGAGGCCGCTGTGAGGGTCTCAGTCCATACAAAACCACACACTGGTTTTGAAACAAGTCTCTGTGATCAACAGACAAGTTTTCTCACTAATACACTGTCTTAGTCTTGTTTGTTGCTGTTGTTGTTAAATGCTACCAAGTTTGTTCTGACTCATAGCGACCCTATACAGAGTTTTCAAGCAGCTCTGGTAGCGCAGTGGTTGAGCTGGGCTGCTAACCTCAAGGTCAGCAGTTTGAAACTACCAGTCATTCCACAGGAGAAAGATGAAGCTTTCTGCTCCTGTAAAGATTTACAGCCTCGGAAACTCTATATGGGTCACTATGAATCAGAACTGACTCCACGGCACATAACCACCACCATGGAGTTTCCAAGGAGCAGCTGGTGGGTTTGAACTTCTGACCTTTACCCCTTCTTCCCTACAGCCCTGATCTTGCCCTTGAAGACCTCCTTTTTGTTCTCAAATCTCAAAAGAAAATTTCAAAGAAACACAAGTCCTTCCAGGATGCTAAGACTGCCATTTTGAGGAGGTGTAAATTGAAGACTGCAGAATTCTTTGGGGGAAAGGCTAGAGATGAAAAAACCACCTCCAGCAGTGTACAGACCAAGATGGAGGACACGTGGAGAAAACAGTAGCATCCCAATTTGATAGGTTTGTTTAGTAAAGAGTGCTATGATTTTGTAGCAATACTTTCTGATTCACCTTCACATTCTCATCGCTCTCCCTTACTCCTCTGCACCCTTTCTTTCACATGCCCACTTGGTATAACTCAATCCTAATTAAATGGACTTCTGGTGTGGCGGTACAGGATCATCATCGCTGGACTTCAAATCACAAGGTCAGCAGATCAAACCCACCAACTGCTCCTCGGAAACCCTACACAGGGTTGCTATGAGTCCGAACCAACTCTACCACACTTAACAACAACAGCCTCTACTATACCAAGAAGCTACTGTATTCCTGTGATTGATCTCACGTCAAAATTATGACCACTAGCTTCAGGTGGGGAGTACTGGTGTGGCGCTGTGGGTTAATGTGTTGGACTGCAAAGTTGTCTGAATCACAAGGTCAGTAGTTCAAGCTCATCAGCTGCTCCTTGGAAACCCTATACAAGGTCACTATGGGTCGGAACCAACTCAATGGCACTTCACAACAACAACAACTTTAGGTGGCCTTTCATGTAGCTTACATTTTCTTACTATGTTCTGTTCTCTGCTCAGCCTTCAGTAAACCCACTGGGGCCTCCAGGTGTTTGCACTTTTCCTGTGCTATTCTCCCAGGTATCCACAGGGCTCGCCCCCTCAACTGCAGGTCTTTGCTCAAGTGTCTCCTCCTCAGTGAAGCCTTCTGCAACCACCTTAGTGGAAATGTACAACCCATATCCATCTGTTTCTTCACTGTGTCCAGCATTACTTTCACAGCATATTTATTAAATCATAATAATAGGAACTCAGATCCAACTGTGTGCCAGGCATTGTTCTCATTGCTGACAATGCAGAAGAAAACAAAACAGACGAAAAGTCCCTATCATTTGGACCTTACTTTACATTGGGAATACTAAATAATAAAGATGGTAAATCAGTAAAACATGTATTGCAAAGAACCAAACTATGCCATCATGATGAATAAAATTCATAGCAAGCCTGTCGTTACTGTTAGGTGCTGACAAGTCAGTTCTGACTTATAGCGACTCTGTATAGGGTTTTTGAGGAGCCGTTGGTGAGTTTGAACTACCAACCTGGAGGATCAAAGCCACCTTGTGCTCCAGTGTTTATCCATATCAGGACTCCTGACAATCCTACTGTGGTGGTGGTGATGTGCCGTAAAGTCAGTTCTGACTCACACGACCCTGCACAGGGTTTCTGAGGCTATACATCTTTTTACAGGAGCAGAAAGCCTCATCTTTCTCCGAAGGAACCGCTGGTAGTTTTGAACTGCTGACCTTGAGGTTCACAGCCCGATTAGTAACCACTATGGTACCAGAACTCCTTGGCAACCCTATAGAACACAGTATAACCAGGTTTCCAAATCTGTAAATCTTTACTGAGCCTGCCACAACTTTCTCCTACAAAGGCTGGTGTGGGTTCAAGCCACCACCTTTTGGCTAGCAGTTAAGCGTTTTAAGTGCTCCTAAACAGGGATTTAAAAAATAAAACCAAAAAACCTACTGCCATCGAATTGATTCCAACTCATACCGACTCTATATCCGAGATGGTAATTTTCTGGGCCGCACACAGCCTCATCCCTCTCCCACCGAGCGCCTGGTGGGGTCGATCACCAAGCTGCACTTAGCCCACTGAGAGTCACCAGGGCTCCTTAAACAGGTTTTGGTGACAAATGCTAAAAGGGGCAGAGGGAGGGAGTACTGAAGAGGAAATAGGGCTTTTGTGCCTATGCCCCTGTCTAGTGTGTGTGCTTCCTCTCAGATATTTTTGTTGTTGTTAATTTTGTTCATGTTGTATTTCTATGACTACAGCAGTGCTTGCTACACAGCAGACACTCAGCTAATATTTTCTGAATGAAAGACCAAGACAGTTGCTCAGTTTTTACACATCTGCTCAACTCTTTAAGAATAATACTAATAAACGTTATTAGCTAGGCTACGATTCAATGGACAAGTAACCCTAAATTGGGGAGTATGCCTTCAAGTTCCTTAAATTTACAAATTGTTTTGTATCTGCAAGTGCCACTGCTCACTGGCGCAGAGGAGTTCATTGTCCTTATTGATTGAGAGCTTTTTACTCGACCAAAGATCACTGTAATCTGCAGGGAGGGGGCCATAGCGGTACAGACGAACCTGTGACGCGAGAGGCTCAGGGCCACCAGGAGCACAGAACTCCGAGGAAAAGGCAGTGCACTAACCTCTCCGCCGGAAGAGAAGAACAAGCACCCAAGAGCAAAAGATTCCGCGGCCAGACTGCAGAAATTGACAGAAACGCAGCTTGCAGTAATCGCTCCCTCGCTTCAAACAACGAAATGCCAGGAAAGAAACTCCGCCCAACGCCCGACAGCGCAAGCGCACAGAACTACTAGCTAGGCAGCGCGTGAGTCGCTCCATCCACGTGGTCACAAGACCACGTGACTAACCACCGCATCCTTTTCCGCTCCCTAATCCCTGGGACCACCGGACTGCCTGTCCTCCGCCTTCCACTCGCTTCCTCCTCCGCTCGCACTAGGTGTTCCGCTACCGAGCCTACTTTCCCGGAAGATCCCAGTACGGTCCTGCTAACCACTGTTTGGCTCTTTTAGGGCATCGAATAAAGTTTCCTCATTCAAAAGCGCTTTTTTTTTTTTTTTTTTTTTTGTGAAGCTTACACCGTTCGTTCTCTCAGCTCCTTCCGTGCACCGGCACCGCCTCTCTTCCTGCGGCGGGTGAGACCCGGCGGTTGGGTCAGGGACCGCGGAAGGTGATGGCGGGGTCTCCGGAGTCACTCTCAGGACAGGACGTGGGGTTCGTCTCGCTTTCCTCGCCCAGTCTCTCCTCTCGTTTTCCTTTCTCCCACTGGGAAAGCCGGTGTCTCTGGAATCCTGTAGGATGATGAGAGGCTCCGCGTCTCGGGTTTCGCCGACCAGCGTGGAGGCGAGAGCGAGACGGGCCTGGGAGTGTGGCGGCTGCGGCTGCTGGGGACAGATGCAGGCTCTCCCTGTGGCAGCCTTGGCTACACCACAACGGACCAGCGAAAACTCCCCACCTCTGTATACTGATCATTCAGGCGATCTCAGCAGCCTGTATTCATTTCCGTTAAACAGTTTACTTGTTAAGTGCCATAGAGTCGGTTCCGACCCATGCGACCCTGTATAGCGTTTCCGAGGAGCAGGTGGTAAGCTTGAGCCGCCGACCTTGCGGTCTAGCGCATTAACCCACAGAGTCCCACAGAACCATTTACTTAATTGTGTTTAAGGAATCGATTCTCTTGTTTTTTGTTTTTTTTTTTAAATTCCTGCATGCCCTTCTTTAAAGTTTATATCTCCACTCCTCACCCTTTCAGGGTTTGGCCGAGCCTGATTGTAATTATGTTTTATTTACTTTAATGAATGCACTTTTGGGAAGTTAAAGTTATCTGTAATAAAGTAGAAATCTCAGATTGATCGGGAAATGTGTTTCTTATTGCTGATGAGATTAATTTGTTGGCTTAATGGTCACACAAGAAATCTGTGTTATAGATTCTAGGTAAAGTTGTGGACGACCGTAAAAATTACAATAGGCATTGGTATAAGTTGGGTGGCCAAGTTTATTTTTGAGATAGATCCTAACTCCAAAAATACTGCTAAAAAAGTGACGTTATGGAGAATTGAGAGTAGGATGAGTAGCCAAGGAAGTGCCTAAATGGTATATGAGGGAGTGTCTCAAACGTTGCCTCCTAGGCTCTGCCCTGATGTTGTTGTTAAGTGCCCTTGAGTCAAGTCGATTCGGACCCATAGCGACCCTGTATAGGGTTTCCAAGGCTGTAAATCTTGACGGGAGCAGAAAGCCTAATCTTTCTCCCGTGGAGCGGCTGGTAGTTTCAAACTGCTGACCTTAATGTTCACAGCCCAATTCGTAACCACTACGCTACCAGAGCTCCTTAGACCCTGCCCTAGCGATGCAGAACTCTGCCTGAGGAAATGTACGAGTTCGAAAAATAGTGATCCTTTCTGATTAAAGGTAAAATCTCAAAGAATGGTCACCTGTTTGTATCTGCTAAATTGAAAAGCTCAAGTATCAATTAATTTAAGGTAATGATCTTTCCCACTAAAGATTCTGCCCTGCCTCCCTCCAAGGGAATTAGTGATTATTTTAAAATTAAAATTCAGAGTTTTTAGGATACTCAAAGTCCCACAGTGACAGAAAAGTGCTTGCTTTTTTTTCCCCTTAAAATATTACAGCTATCACTAGAGGAAACATTTTGAGTAAGATGCTTATGTTTTTAGAAGTGTGTTAAATGCCATCAAGTTGCTTCTGATTCATAGTGACCCTGTATAGGGTTTCCAAGGAGCAGTTTGTGAGTTCCAACTGCTGACCTTGTAGTTATGAGTCCAGTGCTTATCTTACAGCACTACACCAGGACACCTTAGAAGTGTGGTGATCTCAAATTAAAATTAGAGGATTTGGACGAGGATTCTTTTAAAATGATCTCTTCACTATCTAGCTTTTACTTTGTCTCTGGGGATCTGACAATATAAATGACCGATTGCCTATGGTCTCTGTGCTATATTTTAACAACTTCATACAATTTCATCTCCTAATAAACCTGTTTGTTTTCTGAATCTTTAAAAATCCAATCAATTGTAGAAGATGATAATGTATAAATCTTGGCTTTTGTATATCTTAAATCAAGAAGATCTTTGCTTTTTTATGCTAATATGCACGAGGTTATCTTCATCTGTAGCTTTCTTCATTGTCTGACACTCCCAGAATAATCGCCAGTGTTTGACTGGGAAAGGGAGATGGTAGTATTCGTTCATTTTATCTGGAATGTATAAAGGGAACCGTCACTGCAGGCAGAAACAGCCAGAGGAAAAACAAGGTTGATTATAGACAATGAAGAGAGAAGTAGGCTCATAAACATGTTTAGTTCTATATGTTCTCAATCGTAAGAGTTTTTAATATCCTTTTAATGATCCAATGTCTCATTCTCCTTTCTGAGCAGGTAAAATAACTGAGTCAGTAATAGACCTTAGACTAGAAGCTGCTTTGATTTCTACGTGAATCCTTTGTCAGTTCTATCATACTGTTAAACTAGTGTCTGGTAAAACACTATAATGGGAAATGTAAGAATGATTAAGCAGATTCTTCTGTGAAAGAATCTAGAATTAGAAGCACAAAATGCTTAGCTTTCTTTTTTTTTTTTATTAAATGTTTTTATATTTTGGATTGAGTGAAAGTTTACAGGGCACATCATCAGCTTCACATTCAACCATTCATATAGCTTGTTTCATTACATTGATTATTATCCCCTCCATATATCATCAGTTAACAGTGTTTCTCTCTATCCTCTTTAGCTTTTTTTTTTCGGGGGGGTGGTGGGGAATTGCTTAGCTTTCTTGATAAACCAGAGAAGTTTTCAGATTTGCCTATCTCGTAATATAGTCATCAGACAATTCTGGTACCCTGGTGTGGTGTTGTAGGATAAGTATTGGACTGGTAATTACAAGGTTGGCAGTTCAGACCCACCAGCTGCTCTTAGAAACCCTATATAGGGTTGCTATAAGTCAGAACTGACTTGATGGCACACAGCAACAACAACAATACTAAAAGACCATTCTAGTTTACTAAGTAATAGAATTGTGTATGTGGCTCTTTTTTTCTAGATCATTTGCATATCTTACAATTAAAGATAGAATACCACAGATCTTAACTAAGGCTATTGATACATTGCATCGACATAAAAGTGAGTTTTTTGAGAAACATGGAGAGGTAAGAGTTGTGTATGTGTGTGTTGTTGTTGTTTTTACTGTGGTAAAATGTATAACGTAAAATCTGCTCTGTTAACCAATTTTAAGTGGCCAGTTCTGTGGCAGAGTCTCTGGGTGGTGCAGACAGTTAAGCACTAACTGAAAGTTTGGCCTTTCAACCCCACCCTCTGAAGAAAGGCTTGGTGATCTGTTTCTGAAAAATCACAGCCTTGAAAACCCTGTGGAGAACAGATCTCTGCAACACTGGGTTACTGCCATGAAATGGAATTAACTCCTTCCCCACAGATGATTCAACCCTGTGGAGCACAGCTCTCTGCAACACTGGGTTACTGCCACGAAATGGAATTGACTCTTTGGCAGTTGGTAATCATATCTACCATGTTAGGTAATCATCACCAATACTTATTTCCAAAAGGTTTAATTACCCCACAGAGCAACTCTGTACCCATTATGCAATTAACTGGTCACCCCACACTCTGGTAGCTTCTCAGACCTCGGACTCTGTGAATGAATTTGTCTATTCTATGTATTTCATAGATGTGGGATCATAGGATAGTCGTTCATTTGTATTTAACTGATTTCTTAGCGTAATAGTTGCAAAATGTCTGTAGTGAGAAAATTATAGGCTGAAAACAGGGACTAAATTCCCTTAAAATCACCATTGTGATAGTTACTTTATAAAATGGACTTCATGTGTTTTATTCTGTATGTGTCTTATTAGGTTTAAATTGCCCTCCCTCTCCCCCCCCCCCTTTTTTTTTTTTTTAAATGGACTAAGAATCATGCTGGCCTAAAAACTGTCATTTTCCCTTAATTCTGATCCCATCGCATGTTTCTCCTCTCCAGTTGGCCTGTTATGCACATCCCTGTCAGGGCATCCCACCCACCCAGAACAGTGGAGAGCAAGCAATAAAACCTACTCTCTCAGGTGTTGGAAGAAACCCCCGAAGTCTAATGTTCCTTCTGGTGCAGCTACTTGTAGAAGAAGATTAGGAAGCATAAAAGAAATGGAAAATCCAGCTGCTTTCCCTTTGTGGTAATGGTCACCCTACCCAAAGATAAAGCCCAGAACAAAAAGGCAGCATAGTATGGTAGGATTATGCTGACATGAGATCTTGTATATGTTCTTTGAGTTTCAAATTAAGAATTCTAAAATGTGTATACTAGTTTCTAACAGACATAAAATGTAGTTTTGAAATGCTGTATTTTTTTCTTCCTTTTAAAGTTTGGGTCCATAGAACTGTGTTTGTCTAGAAGAATCATTCATGTAATTCTCACATTTCTCTAGGAAGGCACCGAAGCGGAGAAGAAAGCTATCTCCCTTCTTTCTAAATTACGGAATGAATTGCAAACCGACAAACCGATTACACCTTTGGTGGAGAAGTTTGTTGATATGGACATCTGGAATCGGTACCTAGAGTACCAGCAGAGCCTCATGAATGAAGGTGATGGGAAACCAAGGTGGTTTTACTCACCGTGGTTGTTTGTGGAGTGCTACATGTACCGTAGAATTCACGAAGCGGTTATGCAGAGGTGAGTGTAGAACCATCCCCTGACAAATGCGTACGTCATTTTCATGTTGCTTTAGAGATTGTGAAAAGAAACACCAGTGGGAGCCTGAATGAACGCACATCACTCAGCAAATATGATTGGCCCATTGGACATGCCACCATATGTTACAGAGTTTGTAGATTCTTGGCAGTTGTCATCCTGTCTTCTGTAATGACTACAGCCAAGAAAGCCCTACAGCACACTGTTCTACTGTGTCACACAGGGTTGCTGTGAGTCACAACTGGCTTGATGACTTTGAGTTGTTAGCTTTTTTTTTTTTTAATGGCTGGAGTAGAAAAAGGAGCGCTAGTAGCTCAGTGGTTAAACACTCGGCTGCTAATGGGAAGGTCGGCGATTTGAACCAGTCTGCTTCCGCAGAGCCTTGGAAAGTAGGGTTGGAATAAGCCAGAATTGACTGGGCAGCAGTGGGGAGAATAGAAAAAGTCTTAAAAATTAAACGTGTTCCAAAATAATTTTTATAAGCTTGTTTATACTAATTTAATATTTAATTTGATATGTTCATTGTCAAAAAGAACAATCCAGATCAGTCAT